AAATAAATGATTTGTGCATTGAACAATGCATACAGTGTGTTGCTGAGGCCATACACCTGACTCTTTATAATAATTTCAATACAGCTCGAAGTATTTTTCTCCTTAGATTCAGTCATCTCCACAAGGTGGTGTCATGTGTCTGTTTTTTGTGCAGATGGTTTCTCTGTTAACCTGAGCTTTTGAGAGCAGTTTTTTTTGGGTTGTTTTAGATGAGAATGTTTGGGGTTTTGAAAAAAATGAAGACTAGAAGTTTTGATTCTTGAACTTTTTTCATTCATTTGTTTTGGAGGAAAAATCTGTGGAATCGATTTAAATGTGTCAAACCATACCAACTATAACAAATTAGACAAAATGTTTAATGAACAAGGGATGGGGGGATTGTTATCCAATTGCTGTTATTGTGTTAAATGATATGGATCAGGTTAAGTAGCTGAGCTTAAAGTTGAAATGAAATGAAAGTTGAATGAACTGATTTATCTTTCTTCAGGCCTGTGGAACCTGGTGTCCCTTTTCTCAAATCTCTGTCTCTTTGTGCTGATGCCTTTTGCCTACTTCTTCCTGGAGTCTGAGGGCTTCGCCGGTTCGAAAAAGGTATGTGGTCATGTGTGTTTGTGTGTTTTCTGCAAGCTTGAGGCTTTGTGATTATATTATGTACACATAAAGTTCAAGGACACATAAGATGCTAAAGACATTTTTACACATTTGTACAAACCAATACTCCCAGCACACCTAGGTTTGTGCACTTACTCACCCTCGCTTGGCCAAACACACACACACACACACACACACACGGTTTTATGTGTGACCCTTTTGATTTCAGCCACTCCCCCACCCTAAAAAGATAAAAGTTCAAAAGCTGAGCGGTCTTAATTCTACAGCTCATTCAACCGTATGTCATTAGTTACTCAAAGAAGGGCTGTCACCGGTGCTCATAGAGACCATAAACCAGCAAACACACACCGTCACAATAGAGCGTGCAGATGAAAATGAAAGGGTGGGAGGGAATGCATCAAATTGCCCTCTGTCTTACTCTCATCACAGTTTGAAGTCGCTCCTGGTTTATGTCCCTTCTGGCAAAGCTACATAAAGATTAGTTGCTACTGTAGTTTATGAGGGCTGCACTCATTTGTACGGGAGCGAGGCATACTGCTTCATTTTGTCTCATTTGCACCATGACTGTTTCTGGCCATTGATCAACCAGAAACACAGGAGAGAGGGAAGCACTGCTTTATGTTGGCCTACACGTCTCAGAATGACCGGCATAGCGTATGTGTGTGCGCATCTGTAGCAAAAGACAGGAAATTATCAGAAACTGCCGCTTGTATGAAAGCCCCCTGCTGATACAGGGAAGGGTTAAGTCGTCAACCGTAGAAGCCCATAAAAGCAAGATTTCATGTTTTCTTTTTAAGTATAAAGTCAAATGGCCTGCTTGTGCCAGTCTCCATGTTAGATGGTTAAATGGGGACATATATATGGCAAATTACATTCAGTAACTGGAGGAAATGAAACTGGCTAGTTTGTTAAAAGCTTGTGAGAGCTGTAGCTGGTACGTTTTATGGGGCAGTGCTTGTATTAGTACTTCATCAAATGTAATAAACAAAACCAAAAATATCTGTCGGGAAGGAAAGTGTGTGACAGAATTGCTTTCTCTCTCTCTTATGCTCACCAAGGCTACATTTATTCGATCAAAAATATAGTAAAAACATTAATATTGTTAAATATTTCTACAATTTAAAATAGCTGTTTTCTATTTGAATATATCGCTTGTATGAAAGCCCCCTGCTGATACAGGGAAGGGTTAAGTCGTCAACCGTAGAAGCCCATAAAAGCAAGATTTCATGTTTTCTTTTTAAGTATAAAGTCAAATGGCCTGCCTGTGCCAGTCTCCATGTTAGATGGTTAAACGTGGACATATATATATATATATATATATATATATATATATATATATAAACATTTTATGTAACTATTTTTTAAAGAAGCAAATTCAATCAAATAAACGAAATTTAATTTAATGTACTGTACGGTATATAATGGTGCCATTTGGAATTCTACTGTCCTATTTCTTTTCATTTCAAGACCTACAATCACACAGACACAGACAGACAAATTGTGTGTACTATCTTGTTGTATTAGGATTTAGTAATCAGTTTTGTGTGTATGTGTGTTGCTCTGTATTCCATTTCCATCATGACTGTGCTGCTTTTCTGACTTCATACATCAGTTTCAAAACAACTCTGTTCTTTTTCCTCAGAAGGCTAGTATAATATGCTGATTTGCTGCTCAAGAAACATTTCTTATTATCAGTGTTGAAAACAGTTGTGCTTAGTAGTTTTTTTTGTGGAAACAGTGATACACAATCATTAAAAAAAAAAAATAAGTAAAAAAAAATAAAGAACAGAAACAAATTAATACTTTTTTTCAACAGGGATGCATTAAATTTTAACATTTTATAATGTTGCAAAAGATTTCTGTTTGAAATAAATGCTTTTCTTTTGAATTTTCTATTCATGAAAGAATCCTGAAAAACTCATCAGCTGCTGATCTGGATGCTTCAACGGTTTTCATCATTGATAATAAAGCATATCAAATAACAAATCAGCATAGTAGAATGATTTCTGGAGGATCATGTAATCATGTGAAGGATCTGAAGAATCGTGTAAAAAATGAGCTTTGCCATCATATGAATAAATTTCATTTGAAATTATATTAAAATAGAAAACAGTTATTTTAAATAGTAAAAATATTTCACAACATTACTATTTTTGATCAAATAAATGCAGCCTTGGTGAACATAAGAGACGTCTTTCAAAAACATTAAAAATCTTA